TTTTTTTTATTAATCTAGGCACAATTTAAAGATTATGTGTATGAGTGTTTTGCCTGCATTTATATCTGTGCACCATGTGTATATGCCTTGTGCCCAGAGGCCAGAAGAGGGTGTTAGCATTCCCTGGAACTGGAATTCCAGAGTTGTGAGCCACCATGTGGGTGCTGGGGACCAAACCGCGTCTTTCTTCTACAAGAACAGCAGGTCCCTTAACAACTGAGCTATCTCTTCCAGCACCTACCCACCTCACCCCACTTTTTTTGTTTTGTTTTGGAGACTCCCTAGGGGCTATGCCAAGCTTTTCCTTTTTCAGACTCTGGCTGGGTAGGCCAGGCTGATCTCAAACTTGTAATCTTTCTGCTTGATCCTTCTGAGTACTGGGATGATAAGCATGTACCACCACACCCAGCAGTTAGACGTTTATCCTACATACATTCTGTATCTGAACTGTGTGTCCTATTTCTAAATAAGTCCTATTGTACAGTGGACCAGCAGCTCCTGGTTAAGGGCTACATAGCCTCAGGCATTGCCAGAAACTGTTGACTGGAAGAATCTCCAGGTTAGAAAGGACTTGAGGGAGAGCTAATGAAGAATGGTACTCAAGTTGGGTCCCCAAGCCTCTCTGGAACTTTGTAGGACTGACTGTCCTCTGATAGCCCCAGGTGATAAACTGAAGTCATTGCTACTTCTGCCCATCACCAGTCAGTGTTCTGATTACACTAAAGACCCTGCTTTTCAGACCATCTTGTCATCCCCACAGGTCAGAGAGTTCTGAGAGCCTGAACCAGCATGTTCCATTCATACCATCCTTGGGAATGGAGGATAATCAGGCTGGATGAATTGTGGGGTGTAAGAGGAAGGTACCAGGCCCCCTCACACTGTGCTGCTCACTTGCATGTGCGGGATAGGACACACCCAAGTTCTACACAGCCTCTGAAATGTCTTCTTGCTTGCTAGCTTGTGGTAGCAGGCATCGAGCTAGACCAAGGTTCTTTTATGAGTTACATTAGTCTTATGGGTTTTTTTTTTTTTATTTATTTATTGTGTATTATGTATACAGTGTTCTGCCTACGTGCCAGATCTCATTACAGACGGTTGTGAGCCACCATGTGGTTGCTGGGAATTGAACTCAAGACCTCTGGAAGAGCAGCCAGTGCTCTTAACCGCTGAGCCATCTCTCCAACCCAGTTTTATGGTTTTTAACTTATGCCTGAAATGTTCTCAGAAATGTCTATAAAGAACTATAAAGCTTAATGTCCTTTTGTTGTTGTTTTAAGACCATACAAGTATCCGAACTATTGAAGAACTGGCTGGAAAACTAGAATTTGAAAACGAATTGAATCGTGTGTGTGGACGCTGCCAAGATTCACCCCTCAAGGAGGAGGCCTGGGCCCTGCTTGTGGACGAGAGCCCTCGGAAGGCTTTGGATGCTGACCCTGGTAGCCTCAAGCAGGCTTTTGATGACCAAAATATTGTTGAGACTGTTCTGGACCTGGAGGAGGACTACAACTTGATGACCTCTTTTAAATACCAAATAGAGTAAGGAGAGTTGATTGTCAGCAGCCACAATGGTTATCAGAAGCCAGTCTTTACCAGGGGTTGGCAGATCCTGAATTGCCACATCCTGTTGAGTTCCTGCAGAATCCCAGAGCTGAGAGCCTGGGCTTTAATATTCTGTTATTTTGAAATGTTTGGAGTTTTTTTGACTTGACATTTTTTAAAGTGTGTTTTTGGTTGGTGTTCACTATATACAATACAAACCTTGGTAGCTTGTGCCTCTGCTCTTTCTCCTCATATTCTTTTATCCATATCCCTGGAACAGTATGGGAACTGTAACCAGGATGGATCTGTACCCTGAGACTAGCCCACCACAGGGAAGCTCAGTTCAGAAGAGTCAGGCTCAAACTGAAGTTTGCCTTTGGCCCTCTGCTACCTGTGTATTCTGCTCTCCTCACACACTTTGCACACAGGGATCCCTGTTTCCTGTGTCCATGTTTTCTTCATGTCCTAATTTACCTCCCTTAATTCCCTATTCCTACCCTACCCAGGGCAATGCCTCTCTGTGCAGATCTGCTTGAATCAGTTTCTGGTAGGATTCCAGGCTGTCTCATTTAGGACCTAATATATCCTCCACAGACATGTGGACCCCTGCTGAGGGCGGCAGGTAGGGGAGTCAGTACAGGTTTACCTATCCATCATCATACCTGAACCACATCATCACACCATAAGTAGTTCTATAGCAAAGACCATGCTGAGCCAAGACAGAGAAGGGACCAGGCCGTTGCCCTCCTGAGGTCAGCATAGCCAAAAAAAGGCACAAAAGCACAGTAACAGGCAAGATGACTCATGTGGACACAATGTGGTTGCTGGGAATTGAACTCAGGACCTCTGGAAGAGCAACCAGTGCTCCTAACCACTGAGCCACCTCTCCAGCACTCATTCAATTATTTTAATCTTAGGATTTGGCTCAGTGGTACTCAACTGGTACATGCAGTAGCGGCAACATATCACTTATCATTCATGCCTTCACCTGGCAATCTCTCAACACACCTAGCCACTTGGTCAAATGAACCCCCGAGATGAGTGTTCACTGGTTCCCATCAGGGATGGTCACTGGCATTGCCTGCCTGAGGCAAGAGAAAAGGAAGTCTAACCTTTAATCCCTGCAGGAGGGAGCGTAGTTAGCAAATGTAGCCTGTGAGTTAGAGGTCAGACTTGGAATGCTCACTTGGTGGCCTCTGCTCAGGTTGTTCTGGATGGAGGGATGTCAGGCTACTTGCTACTCATGTTTATAAAATATGTCTCAAGCCAGCATATTATTTTAACTGTATGTGGAAGTGGACTTTATTTTTTTGGGTTTTTTATTTTTTATTTTATTTTTGAGAGAGAGAGAGAGAGAGAGAGCGAGAGAGAGAGCGAGAGAGCGCCTGGCTGTCCTAGAACTCCCTATGTAGACCAGGCTGGCTTCTAATTCACAACCATCCGCCTGCCTGTCTCACAAGGGTGTGCACCAGCAGGCCCTGCTGATGCAGAACTGAATCCCTGCCTTACCTCTTACCCCATCTTCACTCTTAAGGATGAACTAGACCCGGTTGCTCTTCTTTTTAAGACTTTTGTTTGTTTGTTTCTGTGTTGCTCTGTCTGTCCTGTAACTTGCTCTGTAGACCAGGCTGGCCTCAAACTAACAGAGATCTGCCTGCTGGGATTAATTAGTTAATTAATCCCAAGCTCTGGGATTAAAGGCAAGTGCGAACACCAGCCAGCCAGATTTACTCTTATCTAAAAACTAAAGAAAAGCTGTAAATGTAGAGAGGAGAAACCTGTAGACCTGACAAATCAGGAGACTTCTCATCACCAGCAATGCCGTGTGGACGTTAGAACAAGGACCACAGGTGATGGTGGTGCATCCCAGTACTCACAGAACTTAGGAGAACAAGGCAGAAGAATGGGAAGTTCAGAGACCAGCCTGCTTTACATAGTGAGGCCCTTTCTCAAAAAGTGAAAAGGAGGAGGGCTGGAGCGATGTTGGGAGTACTTACCCTTTCCAGAGGGCCTCAGTTTTGCTCTCAGCTTCATAAAGAGAAGCTCACAACTGCTACACCTCTAGCTCCGGGGGATCCAATGCCCTCTTCTGGTTTCCTCTGGCACTTGTACTTATGTGACATACACTCGAATAGATATACATACATATAAAAACCAAGATCCTTCAAATAAATGTAAAATCTTAAAATGTAGATGTGGTGGCTAATGCCTGTAATTCTAGCACTTGGGAGATGAAGCAAGAGGATCAGAAGTTCACAATCATCCTCGACTACATCACAAATGCAGTGGTTCTCATCCTGTGGGTTCCACCCTTTGGGGTCAAAGGACCCTTTCACAGGGGTTGCCGAAGACCATCAGAAAATACAGATATTTACAATTCATAAGAGTAGCAAAATGACAGTTATTTCTTTTTTTTTTTTCCCCTTTGGTTTTTCGAGACAAGGTTTCTCTGTAGTTTTGCGCCTTTCCTGGATCTCACTTTGTAGACCAGGCTGGCCTTGAACTCACAGAGATCCGCCTGCCTCTGCCTCCCGAGTGCTGGTATTAAAGGCGTGCGCCACCACTGCCTGGCTAAATTGCAACAATGTAATTTTATGGTTGGGGATCATCACAACATGAACTGTATTAAAAGGTCACAGCATTAGGAAGATTGAAAACCACTGCCATAGTGTGTTCAAGGCCAACCTGAAAAAAGTGCTTCATATCTGTGATATGCTTACAAAATCCAGAGTTGTCAGACTATAACCATGAGGCAATGTTAGACAAACCCAGACAGGATATTCTAGGATCCCTGGCCAGAATTTTAGGATTGTCAAGGTCATGAAAAACTAAAGATTCAAAACCTCTCACCAACAGGACTAAGAAGAAACAGTGCTTAAGAAGCATGTGAACCCTGGACTGTATGCTCGAGCAGTAAGGGGTGTTGACATGAGTGAAATCTATATGAAGGCAGTGTTTAATGTATTGGTACTAGTTTCCTGGCTTTGACAATTATTTCAGTTATATGCCAACACTGGGAAAGCTGGACACAGTTTACACATGCTCACTATATTTGAAGTTTTGTGTAAATCTAAAGTTATTCCAAAATTTAACATTTAAAAATGCAATTAACTGGGGCTGGAGAGATGGCTCAGCAGATAAAAGCGCTGGCTGCTCTTCCAGAGGTCCTGAGTTAATTCCCAGCAACCACATGGTGGCTCACAACCATCTATAATAGGATCTGATGACCTTTTCTGGCGTGCAGGTATATATATATGCAGAGCATTCTTACATAAAATATAAATAAATTTTTAAAAAATGCAATCCCAGCTTTTTTTAAATGTATAAGCTAAATTTGTCCAGCCTGGTCTACAAAGTGAGTTCCAGGACAGTCAGGGCTACACAGAGAAACCCTGTCTCAAAAAAACAAAACAACAACAAAAAATGTAGGGAAGCATCAAAGGGGATTACAGTGGTTTTAAATAATATTTTATATTTTGCCAGGCAGCAGTGGTGCACTCCTTTAATCCCAGCACTCAGGAGGCAGATGCAGGGGGATCTCTGTGAGTTCCAGGCCAGCCTGGTCTACAGATCGAGTTCCAGGGCAACCAGGGCTACACAAAGAAATCAAAGTGTGTGTGTGTCTGCATATCAACCCCAGCTCAGACACACGAACACGAGGCAAGCATTTCTCAGAGCTTCCCCTCCAGCCCTAAGACATGTCTATTCTGAATCCCGGTCTTCATCATGAACCATGGGTATCTGTCACCAGGTGCCTATCTGTCACCAATGGTCACAGTTTGTGAGAGCTGAAAGGATGGATTCTAGGGCTACACAGGACTTCTGTAGGACCCCTGTCCTGAGAGTACTGGATACTCAGGCTGGTTGTTCTATGTCTCACAAAACAGAATCCCAGTTGAATTCACTGGTCAGTGTGTAGCTGCATGCAGGACTTTGGAGGGGAGGTGGCTGCAGTGAATGAGGACAGAACCCTAACTATGGAACCCTTTGAAGTGCCAGGTTTGTTTTTGTTTTTGCTTATGGTGGAGATTGGCCCTTGGGAATGTGGGCCCAATAGAAGGAGAGGATAGATAAGGATAGATAATTCAGGCTCACTCTGGCCAGACAGGGAGGTACATTTTGGTTTTGTTTTAGCCAAGGCTTAGTGTGTGTAAAAATATCATCTAAATGAGAGCTATTCTTCCTCACTAGTCGAAACAGATGTTTGGCAAAGTAGGCAAGCCCCAAGTCTTTGACATGCCAGCCCCAGATTACTCATGTGGGCACACATACCTCCTCACCTGTTTACATCCCCTGGCTCACTGATGTGCCCTTAACAGCCCTTCCTGCCTGTCCTCTGCTGGGCTCCATGGGGAGGAGGAGGAATTGTTTTTCAGGAATTTGCTGGAGAGGATATAGGAGCCTAGAACATAGCATTTCATAAAACTAAAGGCTTTCAGGGTCCAAAGGCATTCATGATGCATGACACTTGACCCTAGTCATGTCAGAGAAACTTGAAAATGTTTGACGTCATTCAGTTCCATCCCCCGCAGTTCATCTTGGCACGCCAAACAATTGCTGAATTGTTTCCGTGGAAACACCAAACTGCAATTTGGATTACCAGAATCAAAATAGAAACAAGGCAAATTCAAGAATAAATAGCAGTGGAACCTGCTGGCTGCAAAATGCAAATCCAAATCACAGCATAAGACGTATGAGAGCTGCGTCATCACCCTTCAGATTTCAGGTTCTAAGGCTGCGTCCCACCAAGATGCTAAAGCTTTAGAAGTAGACTGGTGGAATCTGAGACAGTCAGGCAAGCGCTAGTCTGCAGATATTCCTAGAACTGGAGGCTGGAGGCTTAGGGAAACAGCAGGGGAAGGCGGGCCAGGCAGAGGCAGAGCCGCTGTTGTCAGAGCTGAAATGCTGACCCCGCCCTCAGGCCAACTGCATGGCAGCGCTCCCCACACCCAACCACGGCTGCCCCTGGCTACCGAGATCTAGTTCAAGACCCTGCACTTGACGCCTACCCATGTGAGTGTCAAGGCACTCCTATGAGCATGCCTTTGTACCTGTGCCAGGGAGGGAGTTCCATCAGGCACTTGAAACCTGTCTTTTCATTTCTAGCTCTCAGTGTAGGGTAAAAGGGCCAGCCAAAGAAATACACTCTGTCCGACCAACGCAGTACAAAAACCAACCCATCCCAGAGCAGGAAAACCTACGGATTCCTGAACACAAAACCAACCAATCCCTGATCACAAAATCCAGCCAATCTCTAAACTTGTCCAAGCTCAGGGATTGAAACCCAATCAATTCCCACCCTGGAAAAACTCTAAGAAGCCCTATATATAAGCCCTGTGCCTGTTCAGTTTGCTGTGGCCTTTTTCCACCTTGGCAGAGTGGCTGTCCTCCTGTATTTTTCCCTCCCAGTAAATGTCTTGGATGAGGTTTGGGTGAGACCTTCTTTCACCAGAATAGAGCAGAGCGGAGCAGAGAAGAAACTTAACACTTAGCTGGGGAAACCCTCCCCTGCAGGACCGAAGCATAACTAACAACTTGGCTGGGGAAACCCTCCCCTGCTGGAGCAGAGCTGTTACATTGGGGAAACCTTTCCCTGGAGCAGGGCTGTAAGCTGCTACATTTTTGTTTGTTTGTTTTGTTTTTCGAGACAGGGTTTCTCCGTGTAGTTTTGGTGCCTTTCCTGGATCACGTTCTGTAGCCCAGGCTGGCCTTGAACTCAGAGATCCGCCTGCCTCTGCCTCCAGAGTGCAGGGATTAAAGGCGAGCGCCACCACTGCCTGGTGGTGTAAACTGCTACATTTAAGGTGACTTTGTGGTATTCCTTGGCTTCCTACTCAGGATCCCTTTCCATCCAGGCTGCATTGCTTAACATGCAGAGTTCCTCCAACTTCAGGACAGGACAGTGACTTCTTGTCCTCCTTTCCCTACCTCCTCGGCCTTCTCTTGGGCTTTCCCCTTTCAACCTCCGAGAAGATTCCAGAAGAATCAAGAGAACAGGAAGGAAACAGGCAGTTTGGCTGGGGTGGTGTGGGGTGGGTGATTTGGTGTGGGGTGGCTGGATTTTGTGATCAGGGATTGGTTGGTTTTGTGTTCAGGAAGCCGTAGGTTTTCCTGCTCTGGGATGGGTTGGTTTTTGTACTGCGTTGGTCAGACAGAGTGTATTTCTTTGGCTGGCCCTTTTACCCTACACTGAGAGCTAGAAATGAAAAGACAGGTTTCACGTTTATACCCAGAAACAAGCTAGTAGGATGTTAAGGGCATCCTGACACAGATGTAATTGTAAGATATTAATGTTCAAGGAAGACTGATGAAGATTTGATGAAGATCTAGGACCCACATGGTACTTCTCTGAGGCACATAAGCTTAATATTGCAGGGGAAAAAAGGTGCGAGTCCTGGAAACAGGGAGGCTTCAGAAGTCATTTACCCAATTGTCTGATAGCTGAGAATTGCTGAAAAGACTGTCATCCCCAGATCTTGTAAGGTTCTGGCAATTTTTCTCCTTGGTGTGGGAGAACATTAATATTTTAGGTTCCAATTAAGTATTTATAGAAGGAACAAAGTTTTACTCAGGAAATGTATTTGACAATGGATCCAAGTCCTAGTGTGGAAAGACTCTCTGCCTGCCCTAGGCTGTCTGGAAAATATATGGTAAAGAGTTTTGGCCTTTGCCTGACTTAAAAAAAAAAAATCTAAACTACAAACCTATCCAGCAACTGTTTTCTGGGCACACTGGGTGAGGGAAGAGCTGCTAGGAATTGTCTGAGAGAGAAGTGGGCAAGAGCAGGAGCCTCTTGGAGCTTCTGAAGCAACAGGAGGAAGGCGGCAAAAGGATCTCTGGAAGGCTCAAATCTCAAGACAGGGCTTCTGTGTGTGGCAGGGGGTTGATTTTGGTTTTTCAAGACAGAATTACTTTGTGTAGCCCTGGCTGTCCTGGAACTCAATCTGTAGACTAGGCTGGCCTTGAACTCAGAGATCCACCTGCTTCTGCCTCCTAGTGCTGGGATTAAAGGCGTGCGCCACCACACCTGCCTTAAGACAGGGTTTTTTAAAAAGCTCTTTGCCTAAAAATGCAGCCTCTACCCCAGTAAGTACCAAGTCAGACACTTTCCTGTGTGCTGGGGACACAGCAAGGACAAGAGCTATATAAACTCTTACTTCTGGAATTTATGACTCTAATCAAGGCAAGTGAAATAAGAACACTAAGTCAGCTACATCAGTGTGAGGTAAAACAGTAAGAGAATGAATGGTCCTCAGAACCCACATGGTTCTGGCAGGTGAGGACCAGCTCTCTCTCTGTCTCTCTCTGTCTCTGTCTCTCTCTCTTCACACACACACACACACACACACACACACACACACACACGAAGTAAAAGGACCATTTTGTCAGTGATATGGGTGATATGTAAATTGATGCTGGACTGTCAGGCAATTAAGTGCTGTTGTGAGCTTCATTTCCATCCTGGAGTAACAGAGGGTGGAGCACTCAGCAGGCTCTCCATCCTCCCACCCCTAGACCTCCCACTGCATCCGCCCCTGTGTAGCTACATACAGCTCTAGGAGCATCTGAGGAGCCAAAAATGTGTGTTCCAGGGACGTGCTTGAGACTGTGTCATGCTCACCAAGTCTGGCAGCGACAAAAAAAAAAAAGTAAAAAGCCACAGGAATCAACTAAGAAAGAGTACCTCTGACTGCCAGAGACAGGCAGGGTCTTGAGTTTCCCACAGAGTCTATAAACCAGCCCGCTCCTGGAACACTGAATCACACAAAGTGAAGGGCTGCTGAAGACTGGAGCATCTCTGGCATTTTACAGTTAGACGGTTCAAAAAGGGCTCAGGCATTAACACTAACTGAAGAACACTGTAAATTCACAGGATCTCAACTTTGAATAAAAATATTAAAACAACAAACATAAATAACAAAGATAAAAATAAAGTATAACAACTACTACATTGTTCACCAGAAATAACGTCCTTTGGTCTCGAAGCTTCCTTCCAATGGCTTGGTGAGCAACAGTAGTCTGGGAAGGGCTGGAAGGAGCCTTTTGGCTTCTCATACCTCTGTGCACAGGCAATGGAGCCCAGCAGGGGCTGCAATGGAGGCTGCAGAGGGAAGAGTAAACAGCCAGCCTATATGGTCCACAGGAAGAGGAGGCCAGCACAGCCTGAGGCAGAATCCAGGCTTGAACTACGTTGGCCTGAGAGAAGACGGCTGTGATTGTCCACGTATGTGGGAGGTCCAGGCTACAAAGGCCCTTGGTCTGGAAATAAGAGAACAGTCTGGCACTCTGCCAATGGTATCATAGGTAGATTCAAGTCCTACAGAATCTTATGGGAACACACTCCTGAAAGAAAGGAGTCAAGAGTCACTTCTTTCTATAACAGTTTAGTCTCCGGTGCCTGGAAACTGGCTTAGAAATGGGCAATTCTAGGAAACCACTCATTCCATGAAGCTTCTCCCTAACTGACTTCCTTCACTAGCCCTTTTCTGTTCCTTCCTCCCTTCCCTTCTCTTCTCTTCTCCTCCCTTTCTTCCTCTCCTCCTGTCCCCCTCTTTCTCTTGAGATGCAGTACCACTCTGTAGCCTGGGCTGGCATTGAACCTGGGTCCTATTGTCCCAACCACCCTGAATTACAATCATGTGCCACCACACCCAGCGGTTTAGTTGTTTGTTGTTTTTTTTTTCCACTTTGCACATGTGGTGTGTGGGTGCACATGCATGTGTGGTGTGTGGGCACATGTGAGTGTGGGTGTACATGCATGTGGAAGCTGAAGTTGATTTTAGGAGTCATCCTCAATCACCTATTTATTGAGGTAGGATCTCTTAAACAGAACTCACAGATATGGCTAGTTTTGTTAGCCAGCTTGTTCCGTCTCCACCTTCCAAGGCTGGAATTACAGATGGGCTGACTCACCTATACAGCATTTTTATGTGGATTTCTAGGGATCTGAACTTTTTTGTATGGCAAGTGCTTTAATTGCTGAGCCATCTTCCGGTCCATTTTTGGTTTTAGTGGTTTTTTTTAATTACAAAGAAATATGCATGTGTTGCAAAAATAAAAAATTTCAAAGTCGGTCATGGTGGTTTATGCCCATAATCCCAGTATTTGAGAGGCTGAAGAGAGGGGATTGCTATGAGTTTGAGCCTAGTCTGGACTTTATAATGAATTCCATGTAATCAGTGTCTTCAAAAACAAAAATAACAAAAACTATCAACAAGATATAAATGGAATGTCAAAGTCTAGTATAAAAGCCTATTGCTTGGCCAGGGGTCGGTGCCCATGCCATTAATCTCAGCACATGGGAGGCAGGGTAGGCAGATCAGTATAAATATGAGGCTAGCCTGGTCTACAGAGCAAGTTCCAGGACACAAGGCTACACAGAGAAACCCTGTTTTGAAATTAAAAAAAAAAAAAGTCTGCTTTCTAACAATATAGGAAGGTCTACAAACATATTAGTTTTGATTATTTTGGTCTTGTTTTTGCATTTTATTCAGAACTCTGTGGGAAATTTGGGACTCTGAGATGTTTTTTGAATTATTTGTCTAAAAAGTTTAATTTTGCCAGGCATGGTGGTTTACACTTTTAATCTCATCACTCTAGGGGCAGAGGTAGGCAGATCTCTTTGAGTTATAGGACAGCCTGACAAATCTCAACAAAGATTTATTCTTCGTAATGTGTATGTGTGTATGTCTCTCTGTGTGTAAGCAACAGGTGTAGGTGTGTGTGTGTAGGTGCCCAAGGAAGACAGAAGAGGGCATCAGATGACCTGGAGTTGGAGTCAGGCTGTTGTGAGCTGCCTTTTGTAGGTGCTGGGCACAGAACTCTGCTCCTTGGCAAGAGTATATGCTTTTAACTGCCAAGCCATCTTTCCAGCCCAATTTATTTTTAATTAGCATACTAGGTATTAGATATTATTGTGTCATTTTTCAACAAAGACAGTTAGTTCAAAAGAGTGATTGGAGGGCTATTGTTTGGTGGTAGAATACTTCCTTAGAATGCACAAGGTCCTAGGTTTGAACCCTAGGAAGGAAAAAAAAAAGGGATTGAAGACAGGTGTAGAGGCAAGAGGACCAGAAGTAGTTCAAGGTCACCTTTGGTTACAATAATGAGTTTGAGGCTAGCCAGTATGGGGTATGTGTGACTCGGTAACAAATAACAATAACAAAAGTAATTGAAAAACTGAACGGAGAAAAACAGCCAGGGAAAAAATAATACACTCACTTGGCTTAGGAGTCCCAGTGCTATGAAGTTTGGTCTATATCACCTCGAAAAGCCAGCCCCCCACCCCCACCCCCAGATCTCATAATGTAGCCATAATGGGTCTAGAACACCCTATGTAAACCAGGTTAGCCTCAAATCTGAAGCAATTCTGGTCTCTGCTTCCTGAATGTTGGGATTACAGGTATAAACCACCATGTCCAACTGTCACAGGCATCTTTTTTTTTTTTTCCCCCATTTTTGGTTTTGGTTTTATCAAGACGGGTTTCCCTGTGTAGCCTTGGCTGTCCTGGAACTAGCACTGTAGACCAGATAAGGCTGGCCTCGAACTCACAGAGATCCACCTGCCTTTGCCTGCCGAGTGCTGAGATTAAAGTGCTCCACCACTACCCAGCTAACACTCTGTTCTTAAGTAGACTGATTTACAGCTGAGAATTGAGACATACTTGTAGTACCAGCACTGGAGGATGAGTCAGGAGGATTGTAAATACAAGGCCAGCCAAGCCTACATAATGAATTCCTGTCTAATCGTGTGTCCTGTAATATGTCCTCTCATGCTAAAGACAAAACTCTTTGACAGTATAACTAGATTGAAAAATAATAATAAAATTCTGAGGTTCAGAAAGGTGTAGGGACGATTTCAAGAGCTAGTTATGCAGCCACGAGAATCCTGAGAGTTCTTCTAGATTGTATTCCTAAGGAAGCTATGCCCCTTCCTTCCTCCAGATACACACAACTGCCTTCCCGATGCCTCACCACAGCTGACTGAGCTTGTCATTGTCCCCACACATTTCTTCCTCTTAACTAAGGATGTCCTTACTTCTATATCCTTGTCATGAGTGGCCCACAATACTGGATTCTCACCCACCTCCTACTGACCACCATCAGCCAGGGCCTCTGACTCTGAGGCTGGATAAGCCAGCTTCAGACACTGCATGCTACTGCCCAGTCCAAATGTTCCACACTTTGTCTTTCTGAGATCAACGAACCATCAGCTGAAGTCACTGTTGGGAGCATTAGAAGTTATCATCACTGCTGTCAAAATCAGGATCGCAGAGCAAATTCTTCCCTCCCTTCTTACAGAGACGAGGCTCTGGGTTTTCAAGGCTGAGGTCACTGAACCAATTTATCTGCTGATCCCCCTGGGAACTGCTGGATAAGCACTCCTGGTCTGGGGAGGAGTGCTGGGTAGACTGCAGGATTCCCCCGTGTGCTTCCCTTGCTGTCTTACTGGTCCTCACTCTTCCTCCCAGAATATGACGGGCTGACTTTGTGGAGCTTCTTGGAGCCCGCCAACTGAAGAGGGGCCCCTGTGGGCTCGAACCTGGAGCCTGGGGACTTGCATGCTTAGTGATGAAAGCACAGGCCTTCCTTGGGGTTTGTTCTCGCTTCCTAGCTAGAAGCCTGCCTCTCTGAGATTTCCTGGGTTGCTGCTTCTTGCCTTTCCTCCCCTTTCCTCGGGTCCTGCCTTTCTGTTCAGCTGCTAACTGTTCAAACGCGTCAGAACACATGCTTTGGGCTTCATACTGGGGGCAGACATTCTTCACTCTGGAGTCAAACTTATTTAAGTCCAGCTGTGAGGCTTCTTGGGCCGTTAGTTCCTGGTCACTGCCAGCCTTCTGGCTTGGGAGGCTAGAGCAGTGGTTACTGAGGCTTCTGGTGGTGATAACCCAGTTCTTGCAGTAAGTCTGCATGGTCTTGTTCTTCAAATGCTCATTTCCTCTATGGGGCCCATCTGTTGGCAATGCAGCCTTTTGAAAAACATCACTCTCTGCTCCTTCATCCGAGATGCCAAACTCCCTAGGCCTCTGGGAACTGCTACTGGGATTCCCTGCAGGAGACACCTGGGCCTGCTGAGCAGCTGGCTCCTCAGAGGTGTATTTTTCCTGCCCAGTAAAATGAAGGCTCTGGGCCTGAGCTGGTGAGGTCTGGGAGGTGCTGTCTTTCAGACGCCCAGCTACCTGAGGTGCAGAGATGAGTTTTTTCAGCTCTTCTACGACACCAGGCACATTGAGCTGGCCCAGCCTCTCACAAAGCTGCTGGAAGTCCTTACTCTGCTGGGCAACTAAAACTTCCAGGTTCTTCAGGTTGGATTTCATCTCCATAAACTCGGCTTGTCTCTGGGAAAGGTAGTGAGAAAGAGGAGAGTGACGGTCACAATAAAATGTGACAGCAGATGTGGGCATGGTAGCTCATACCCTAATCCCAGCACTTAGGTGGCTGAGTCAAGAGGACTAGCATGATGGGGCTGGAAAGATGGTTCAGTGATTTAGAGCGCAGGTTAAAAGTACTCTGCAAGAGGACCCAGGTTCAGTTCCCAGCACCCACATGATGGCTTACAACCATCTGTAACTCCAGTTCCAGAGCAAATAACCCCCTCTGACGACTACGAGAAGAAGGCACAAACATGCTACAGAGACATATATGTAGGCAAAGCACTTATATATATAGAAAAAATAAAACAATTTTAAAATACAAACTAAAAAGAGGATTAGCTGAATCTGAGGCTAGCTTGAGCTACATAGTAGCTTCTAAACAGCCTGAGCTACAGGAGAGAGACCCTGTCTCAAAATACAGAAACAAAAAAACTAAGAGAACCAACCAGTGGACGAAGTCTTGTGTTTGGTTGGAACCTCCACCTTACTCCTGCTTGATCCGGAAAGCCCCATTTTTTCTCTCCAAACCCTGCCCTCTCAGAGAATCTCCAACAAAGAAAAAGGTCCAAAAAGCCCTGTTTCACATTCTTGGTAACTATTGCAACCTCCTCCGATGTTGCTGATAGCAGCCCAAGACACCCCCCGACCCCCCACCCCTCCACCTAGACCTTATTAGACCAGCTTGTGGCGAGCGAACACATCATCACCCTGCACCTACAAACTATATAATCCCCTGCTTTAGTTCCAGGGTATGGCTTCTCTGGTTCTTTGCTCAAATAAACCTGTTATACTTTTTCAGTTCTACTTGATCTGGCTCACTGTGTTTGTTTGTTTGTTTTTATTTGTTTGTTTTATTTTTCAAGACAGGGTTTCTCTGTGTAACAGTTCTCTGGCTGCCCTGGAACTTGCTTCATAGACCAGGCTGGCCTCAAACTCACAGAGATCCGCCTGCCTCTGCCTCCCAAGTGCTGGGATTAAAGACCTGTGCCACCACCTCCCAGCTTGGCTTACTATGTTGGCAGAGAAACCTACTGTCAGGGGACAGAAAACCTATTAGCTTGTCTCTTACAGAGTAAGCATAGCTACACTGTGAGCAAGGCCTGAGTACACATGCTGCCAGGGAACCCTGAGGGTAGGCTGTACCCTGACTTACTAAAAAGAACCATCCTGTTTCTGGTCTTGGATGAAAACTTCTCAGACACTAAGTGTCTCTCTTGGTCTCAGAGAGACAAAGCCTAAAGCACACCAGGGCATAGCATCTTCTTTAGCCTCAGCTCCTCTGAAGGCTGGGGCAAGATCACTTGAGTGCAGCACCTCAAGATAAGCCTGGACAACAAGACAAGGCAAAGCAAGAGCTTGCAATTATACTTACAGCTTCAAATCTCTTCTGTATCTCAAGGATGGCCTGTTCCATATTGCCTTTGTCTCGTACTGCCTCAAACGTCAAGTCACGCTGGACCTGTGCAGTCTCTTGAACTAAATACAAAACAAGGATAGTTTTTCCTAACCATTTTTTTCCCCATAAGACAAAGAGAAGCACCTATACCTTTCAGGATTATATAAAATACTCTGTGTGAAATGCCTGATGCAGAAAAATAAACAATAATAAACAAATGACAACCCGGGTGGTATGCCTGATGCAGAAAGAAAAATAAACAATAATAAACAAATGACAACCCAGGTGGTGGAACTCACTCTGTAACCAGGCTGGACTCAAGTTCACAGAGAGCCTCCTGCCTCCACCTCCCAAGTGCTGGGACTAAAGGTGTGCCCCACCACCCAGCACTCCTTTACCTCTTCTTCTGTCATGGCAATGGAAAGCTTGACTGGAGCACTGACAACTGAGTCACCCTATCACATTATACAAGGGAACAGCCTCATTTGCCTCTGTTCTCAGCATTGTTAATTCTTGTGAGGGCAACAGTTCTAGTTCTGACATCTCTAAACAGATGGACAGGTGCCCTGTGTGTGGCCAAGGTTGGAAATCAGTAGATAAACAGTACAGTGCTTCTTTTCAGACAGATGGGAATTATTTTATGAGCTACTCAAAGGCATTGATTTTTGTAAATCATGAGTAATTCATCCCTTGGCATGTGAATAAGCTGACTTGAATTAGTTTAAAATAAAGAATAAACAAAATTCAAACAAGCACAGATGCATAATCATCGAATTTTCATTCTACAGAAGTATTTAGCTAAGGAGACTTGTGTGTTGACTGTTTATAAGGGCGTTCATCTACATGTAGAAACACTTAATTGGTGGGGGAGGGGATTTTACACACCTCACACTATAACTGACATTGAGACCAAGGCTGATTCACCACCAAACAACTCTCACTGAGACCAAGGCAGTGAGAAGAACAGCAGGTGACTGGAATATTTCTAACTCCGAAGGGGGAGTGTGTCTATACACAGCACAGCGGGCAAGCCATGTGAGACTAGGAGACTAGGGAGGCTGCTGATTCATTTTAGGCATGAGGTATGAAGGCTGGCAGAACTACCACACCCTGAGACAGCAAGATTACTGAGAAGAGGAGTAGTACAACACAAAAGCCACCATGGGATTAAAATGTTAGCAGGGTTAGAGAGATAGATGCCTTAGTGGTTAAGAGCACTCCTGCTCTTCCTGAGGACCTGGGTTCGATTCCCAGCACTTACACATTGTGGAGGTTTACAACTGTAACTCTAGTTAGAGGGGATACATCTACATTCTAAAGTCTGAAATATCTAAGTGATGTTCTCTAATATATACATTTATAACTCAGCTGTTCCAGACCAGCCAGGCCTACGCAGACAGACTTTTCTCAAAAAAAAAAAAAAAAAAAAACAAAGGTTTACAAGCAGGGTGTGGTAACACAAGCCTTTAATCCCAGAACCTGGGAAGCAGAGGTAGGCACATCTCTGTGAGTTCCAGGACAGCCTGGTAATAAGTTCCAAGTTAGCAAGGGACTTGTATGTAGAGAGATATCCTGTCACAAAACAAAACAAAATAAAAACAAAGAAAAAAGTGCTGTCCCATAGCAGTAGGGTCCACTATCCCGGCCCACTTTATCCACCTCCCCTCGCATCTTCAGCAGCATAGAAACCTGGCTAGGGTCAGAAGGTCACTCTCATGGCTCACTAGTGCCCTCTGCTGCTAACATCAACCCTGAGAGGCTAACAAAAATTTACAAGTAGAACCAAACAAAAATAAACCTGGGACACTCACTTGTCTTGGCTATAGTCTCCAAAGAATCCAAAATAGATTGGCTTCTTGAACTGAGATGTTCCTCAGACTTTTCCACAGATGTCTGCAACTAAGAAACCCAAAATTAAGAAAGAAATCACATGGGGACCGGAGAAGTGTGGCTCAGGTTGGGAGCACTGTCTGCTCTTCCAGAAGACCAGGGTTTGATTCCCAGCACTCACATGGTGGCTCACAACTGTCTGTAATTCCAATTCCAGGGGATACAATGCCTTCTTCTGGCCTCCAAGGGCACTGCACACACGTGATGTACAGACATATATGCAGGCAAAACACCCAAACACATGAAATAAACATACATTTTTAAAAAAGAAAAAGACAAAGAGAGCACAAACTGTTGTCTTGTCATCGAATCATGAAATGGTAAACATGCTGCTAGTCTACATTTGCTGACATCACTACAATGATTACCATTCCTAAGATACACAATGCTCTAATTCGCTGCAACTTAGCTCTACTTACCTTGTGAATGACTTCTTGAAAATGAGAAACAAAGTTGTACAGCATCTCACTATAGTTAAGAAAAAATGGGGGGAGAATAAATCTTTGTGCCATATTGAAATAACATATAACATCTGATTATGGCAGGTGTTCATCTAGCATCAAAACATTGCTTGATCAGAGTTGGAAACTACCTGAGAAATCTCAGTTATCCAGCCAAAACTCAAGTGCGTTCCAATGCAAATGATCACATTTTTCTTCTTTACATCCAGATGCTTCTTTATTTTCCTTTTATTACTATTTTTTTAGATTTATTTATTTTGTGTGAGTGTTTTGTCTGCATTGTGTGTCTCTGAGCACCATACGCATGCCTGATGTCCAAGGAGGTCAGAAGAGGTTGCTGGATCTTTTGGAACTAGAGTTAAGGATGTTTGTGAACCACCATGTGGGTGCTGAGAACCAAACCTAAGTCCTCTACAAGAGCAATTAGTGCTGAGCCATCTCTCCAGCTTTTTCCTGATTTTAGAAGCAGATGGATTTCTGTGAGTTCAAGGCCAGCCTACATAGAGAGCTCCTGGCCAACCATGGCTATATAGTGAGACTGTTTCAAAACAACAAGCAAACAAAACCATGCACACAAATAGTTTTTAAACTACAAATTTTGTGTTTCTTAAATTTTAAATTTACATTTATTTCATAGGTGTGCGCACACACAAATGCACAGCACCCATGCGGAGGCTAGAGAAAAACGAGAGATTTTGTGCTCTCCTTCAGCCAGAGATTCCGGGGATTAAAGTCTGGTTGTCAATAAGTATTTTTACCACTGAGGCTCAGCCACCAACTGGCCCCCTGCCTTTTTTATTACATTCATTTAGTGTATGTGTGTACTGTAGATATGGAGGTCAGAGAACAACTTGTGAGAGTTCTTTCTTTTCACCATGTGGGTCCCAGAGATTAAAATCAAGTCATCAGGTTTTGTAGCAAGTTCCTTTACCCATTCAATGTGTTTTCAGGTTTTATTCTAAATATTTACAATTTTATGTGCATGAGCAGTCTGTAAGTACGTATTTATTGTACCATGTATGTGCCTGGTGCCTGTGGAGGCCAGAAGAGAGCATTGGATCCCCTGGAAGTGGAGTTACAGTTATGAGCTGTCATGAGTGCTGAGAACTGAGCACTCTACAAGAGTGCTCTACAAGAGCAGCAAATGCTCTTAACTGCTGAGCCATCCCTCCAGCCCTCAGTCAGTGTTTTTAACATAGGATTACATATTAGTCCAGTCTTGCCTGCAATTCCTGGTAATGCTCCTGCCTCAACCTTCTAAATGCTGAAAATTTAGAGAGAAAACCACCATGCTTGGCTTCCGATTTCCTTTCTTCTCTTCTCATTTGTGTATTTATGTGTGTGTACTGTACATTAATTGACATGGAAAGACTCAGCTTAAAAGTGGGCAGCATCCTTCCCTAGGTGTGGGTCCTGGACTGTGTAAGAAGGGAAGAGGACATGCATGTATGTATTCTTCTCTGCTCTCCAACTGTGGATGCGCTGTCACCAGCTGCCTTACGTTCCTGCTGTCTTGTCTTTTCTACAAAGATGGACTGTAACGTGAACTTGTGAGCCCAATGAACTCTTCATCTTTAGGTTGCTTTTGTCTGGGTATTTTTTATCACAGACAGCAACAAAAGTGAAGCTAATACACAAGCAAAGCAAAGAAAAGCACGAGTGCTTTGCAATTTTTGTTTGGAAATAAAGTCTGCAGTAGTTGGTCCAAACTGACCTGCAAATAGAACTCAATGTGTTGCCAAAGATGACCCTGAACTGACCCTCCTGCTTCTGCCTCCTAAAAGCTGGGATTACAGGTGCGAACCCCAACATTCAGCTTCCAATGTTGTCCTCCTTTTTCATTTAATATTTGTTTATTTTATGGAGATAGAAAATAAACCTAGAGTCCTGTCATGCTTGGTAAGCACTACTGCTGATATACATAGGGAGGGAGGGATACATGATACCCTTAAAACAAAAAAAAAAACAAGTTAATCTTCATCAACGTGCAGGTACATTTCCCAAAATAACGATAACCTGACCAGGGACAAAAGAAGGAAGATTCCCCTCATGGGTTGTGACATCCAGTGTCTTCTGCTCCCAAACACTAGAGCTCCTAGGTCAAATTTCAAGACTTAATGAACAGCCATCTCTCACATTCCTTCTATGGCCCTCTGATTCATACTTATATCACTGGCTTCCCTGGTTCTCTAGCTTGCATATGACAGATTTATGGGATTTCTATAATAAACTATTTCTTTATCTTTCTCTGTCATTGATACCCACATTGTGTGTGTAATACTGATTCTGTTTCTGTTTCCTATGCACAACCCTAATACATGCTATTATACTGAAATTGAAAAAAAATTTTTTCGAGACAGGTTTTTCTGTATAACTTTGGTGCCTGTCCTGGATCTTGCTCTGTAGACCAGGCTGGCCTCGAACTCAGAGATCCGCCTGGCTCTGCCTCCCGAGTGCAGGGGTTAAAGGCGTGCACCACCACCGCCTGGCTGAAGTTGAATTATTTGATTATTGATAGTACATTCGTTTTCTTCAGAAAACATGAGCTTTCTCGTCCTCTTAAAGGTGTGTGTACCTGTCACATTTGTCCGTTGTCCTTCGTTTTTTTTCCTCAAACTGTTTCAAGAGTCCTTTTGATTTTCCAACTGGCAAAGGGAGAGAAAACAAGCCTTCATCCTTTGTTTCGCCTCCAAACAACTGGGGCTTTGTCTGGTATTTTGTGAAAACGCTAGGTTCATTCTGTTAAATGAAAACAACAACAACATCAAGTTCCACACACTCTTCTCTGTACAATGCAGAATTTAATGGCATTTAAGTACCAAGCATATGGTTGAAAATAAAGCACAGAGCTCCATTATTTGTATCTACCAGGAAATTATAATAAAGCAACTTTCTAAGTTAATACAATTTCTGCCTTATCAGTACAGAAATATTAAAATTTTAGCTAAAATGGTTCAAAACCAACTGAATACATTTATAGGAAAAAACAGAAAATGATTTACTCTGTCTCTGAGAAGTGGTATTAAAGTTTCACATTAATATATTTTTAGCTATTTTTAGCTTCTGTTGAACTCATTAGTATCTGTTGATAATTTCCATAAGGCTTATAAAGTGCACAAGCAGGGCTGGAGAGATGGCTCAGAGGTTAAGAGCACTGGCTGTTCTTGCAGAGGCCCTGAGTTCAATTCCCAGCAACCACATGGTGGCTCACAACCATCTGTAATGAGATCTGGCATACAGGCAGAAC